CCCGATTTACCTATCCCAACATAATGAATATTTGAAACAGATTGGGGTTATTGTAAAGTAAATGACAATCGGGTAAATTGCAACCGATTAGTTCAAAATCAAGGTTATCACGGTGTTATTCACATTGTAACTTTAACATCTGGAATGCGGTCTGGATGTGAACTGAAACACGGAACAACCTACTCAAACCATCATCTTCTGCGAACAATCCCAAACTACAAAAGGAAACGACTACCAGTGCAGTGGTACGACATCTTGCAGACACGAGCCATCAAACAAACGAGGACGCATTGAAGATGATCTACAAAGCACCCGGAAACCCGTTCAGAGCTGTTGGCTAATGGCACCTTGCTACAACTCAATCCGACCATTTGTCCACAAAAGCGATTCGTTTAGTCACTTCTCATACCCTAGGCCTCAACCTGACACACTTGACCGCAACGATTATGACAGTTGGCATGAAGCAGGGACGCAGACTGGACAAGGAACAGCTCATTCAAACCATAACCGACGGTGAACATTTCCGAAACCAAACAACAACAACAACAACAACAACCAAATTTGTGAATGCTCACGATGTGGATATGAAGACTGAACACTGGTAAAACGATCACAACTGAGCCAGTAGTCACATCAAAAGCAGTTAATGTTTGTGTTCCGATAGAATGTGCTCTTGGAACTGGATTTGCCCTGATCAGGATAGCTTATCAAGATATGATTCAGTTTAATTGAATCTGCACAACCAACAACCTTGTAACCGTTCTGGTCGGTTACTGTGTTTTGTTTATCCATTTGGTCGACTAATGGGAAAGAACTAAATGGAATGTGCAAAATCTGAGAGCACCATCAGAATAAAAGCACAGAAAGCAAGCGAGTTAATCCTGTGCAGAGCAATTTCATTGACCAGTAACATTAGGTACGACACTCAGCCATACCACTTAGTGTCTATAAAACTCGAATAGGTTGATTGATCACGAGGTCCCTTCTCCCTCCTCCCTTCGAGACCTTTAATACCGTGAGTTTCAACAACAACAATAACCAACACACTAATGCCTATTCTAGCTGTAATAAGTATTCAACCGTAAACTGGTATTCGATTATGAAAATATTCATACAACTTTTCACTGAGAACACGTCGTCACGGTCAATACTGCCTGACCCTCCTTCCATAGTTTCACTCAGTATGTGCACCCGGTTAGATACGGCATACACACACACACACACACACACACACACAGAGTCACAATCGACGATAATTGTTGCGAAGCTCGACCCCACAAAACCTTTTAGGTTCGTGACTCACTCCCAGTGTACTTTTATTTGTTTATCCAAAGATGAACTTATACCCAGGGTTTGTGGGGTGGGGTGTTAATTGAATGACCGAAGTGATTGACCGAATCTCACACGAAGATCATGAGCTGAGTACTGATGGTGATTTCTCTGGTGGTGTGGATTTGAGCAGTTGGGGTAAATAATCAGGTGCGCGCACTATTTGGCAGATCCTAGGTAGTTGGATATTGCGACTCTTTTACCTGGTGATTCATTTCGTATTTCTCCACAAAAACTCAAACCGGACGGGTTCAAACAGGCCAAATGTGCTTTGTCACAGTTCAGCCAGAGTCCATCTTGTTGCAATTGATAACTACGACTTGTCGTTCATGAGAAGCGCAAGGTTAGAACAAAGCGGTCCGAATTTCCTCGCCAGAAGTACAAACAATTTAATACGGGGGTATGCACGGAGTTGCAAGTTGTGATCACGCCTGGACACACTTTACCGTTTTGTCGGGTAAACATTCATCTGAACTACAGCTAAAAGGTCTACTGAGAAGTGAGTAACCAGATTAGTGAATCACCCAGTAGTGTTAATTTTGAATAACTCGTGGTAGCCATTTGAGGAATCAATTAGATTTGAATATGTCCTTCGATGATCTGCAATTCATATGAACTGACATGTAGTCAGTTGCTGAATACGGTTATCTGAAAGTCATTCTACTTTTTACGACAAACATTGTACGCAGTATCGAGCAAGGTATGACTAATAATTAAATTCGATTTCAGAATAGAACAATATTGGGCAATGAATGAACACAAGCAAACCAATTATAACCAATACGAATACCAGAGCTTCTGGTGCCATAACATTCATATGGCTCAATTAAGCCAACCTGAGACAACAGGTAGTTTGTTGTGTTCATTTCTCGAATTCAATGCGATTCAAAAACGAACCCAAGGGGGAGATGATTCAAAAGCGGCAATTCGGATTAATTAGCCCAGTGGCACTATCTTTGTGCGAACGGACATGCATCACTATTCGAAAATTGCGCGGAATGACGTTGAAAGATGTGAACGTGACAAAACAATCACCAAAAAACTGCAAATGACAACGAATGAGAAGCAAAGGCAGTAAAATCAATCAAGCTTTATTATTTCCTCCGAATGAAAATCTAGATAGAAAAGAGGACTGAAATTGCATGAGGAACTGAAAAACAAATGCATACATGCATACATACATACATACAGGAAATGTGTAT